CCCCCCCCCCCCCCCCCCCAAACTTTGGGGTATTTTGCACATAAGCCCCTGAAGTTTGTTTATTCGATTCAACACTCATGAACTTATCTCACTTAACCCCCAAAGGACACCGTGAACTTTGACAGATCATGTTGCAAGTGACGGAAGTACCAATTACTTTATTTTAAATTAGCATTTTTCATTTTTTGGGGTTAAATTTCAGAAAGGGATTTTTTTTCGACATTAACAGGCAATAAGGTCAAGGGGTATGTAGTTAAAACTTCAGAAGTTCAAGTGTGTTCCGTGAGACACCCCAATGTGCAGAGGGTTTAAGTGGGAAAAAAAGTTTTTTGGGGGGTTTTCTGGGGGGGGATGTTTAAGGAAATTTACCCAATAAGCTACTCTCGCAAACTGTGTGGCAGGTTCAAGTATTGAAGCTGCATTAGACATCCAAACATGGTCCTACTGCCTTGGTGCTGTCCTGAATACGGCTGCCTCGTCTAATGAATACATGGCGCAATGGATTGATGACCGTCTGTTCCGTCGAGGGAACACCCCCGTTATTCCTTGGCAGCATCGGTTCCGTATCTCCGCTGAGATCGCCACTGGCCTCCTCTTCCTCCACCAAACAAAACCAGAACCTCTTGTCCATCGAGATCTCAAACCTGGCAACATCCTTCTTGACCGGAACTACGTGAGCAAGATCAGCGACGTAGGCCTTGCTCGTCTAGTCCCACCTACAGTGGCTGATACTGTGACTCAGTATCGGATGACATCTACTGCTGGAACATTTTGTTATATTGATCCTGAGTATCAGCAGACCGGTATGTTAGGAGTGAAATCTGATGTGTACTCTTTAGGAGTTATGCTGTTGCAGATAATTACTGCAAAACCACCAATGGGGTTGACGCATCATGTTAGTAGAGCAATTGACAAGGGGACGTTTGCGGAGCTGCTGGATCCAGCAGTCACAGATTGGCCGGTTCAGGAGGCGCAAAGGTATGCGGAGTTGGCTCTTCAGTGTGCGGAATTGAGGAGGAAGGATAGGCCGGATCTTGCGACAATCGTGCTGCCGGAGCTCAATAGGTTGAGAGCTCTTGGAGAGGAAAGTATGGACTACTGCTTGTTGAGAAGCACTCATAGCTCGCCTATGCATAGTCATGCTTCTGTGGTGAGTTTCCAACAAAAGAATATGAGAACAGAAACATCTTTGTATAACAAACATGAAGATATTAAAACTGAGCATTTATTTGACATATGGAAAAAAAATACTAAAAACAGTCACCTTCCTTTGTGATGCCTTCTGCAGGATGTTATGAGCGATCCACATCTCATGCATTCTGGATATGGGAGCTCGAGAACTTCAAATGCATCAAATGGAAGAAGATCAAATGTGGGATGATAGTGGAGAACCTCGAATGCATTGAATGGAAGAAGAATGCAAGCTAAGTGCAAGTTGGATAGCAAGATGTACATGTGCCCATAATGTAGTCTAAACTCAGTAGCCCCACTTCAAGAACATCAAGTGGAAGTAAAGCCAAGATGACTGAAGATGTGAGGCAGATAACAATATATATAATTAAAGCTGAAGAACTATAAACTGTAACTGCAAACATTCTAAACTTTTTGCTGTTTATACCTGATGTATAAATGTAAATGCGAAAATTTTGATCCAAAAACATGTGATTTTGGAATGTGAAGATTAAGATACTCTGCTTTGTGTAGGAGAAAACAATACAAACATTAATTTTCAAATATTTAGTCATCAAGACGAGGTGTTTTCATAGTAAATCAAACTCAAGCAGACAATAAAGAACATTACAATAAAACAATAAAAAAGAATTATAAAATGCTTCCTGTCCTCAGAAAGTCATTACATCAGACTCTTATGCTAGCTTTCATACTCTGTGGCTATGGTCTCATCTGCTAATGGTGGGAGAGGGCCCTCTAATCTTGTAAGGACATCCGGAGCACCAGCAGAATCCCTTATGATCTGCAAACAAAAACAATTTTCTTACACCTAAATTGTCATTAAGATAATACAAAACTGAATGACTGAAAACCTCCATAAAAGTTATTATCACACATGAGAAAGAAATATTTGTTTAATGCGGTTTGAAAACCGACTACACTAATAGTTGAGGTCCATTCATGAATCTCTCCTAGGACACAGTGGGCTGTACTTATTCATCCTCACTAAGGTTCACTTCAATTTTTTTTCCAGTTTCTGGTTCTCCTTTCATTTTTTGAGATAGTGGGACAAGGTGGGCTGTACCCCCTATTACCTTAAACATATACACAAATGTTGTTTCTCAAAGCATAATCAGAGTTAACTTTTTACTGTTTGCCAGCTTAATTTTGGTGTAAAATTTACAATTTCATCTTTTACCTTATTAAAGATGTTAAATGAATTTAAATAAATTAAATAGTATTGAGTATTTTACTTTAGATTTTGCGCTAAGTATTGCAAGAAGTTATGTAAGCAACTGGGTAAACTGAAAGAATTGTAAATCAGACACATGACGTGTCCATGAAATTATTCAAAGAGACAATTAACAGGGAGGTTAGTTGACAGTTATTGGGAGGATTTTGATGCAGATGCCACAAGCAAAAATTGTTAAGCGAGACTTGCAAATATATTAGCCATCTTTCTGGGCCTATCTACAACACTTAATATACTAATGGATCTTTTCCTAGGAACCAAGTAGTTCTAAGAGGATGGTTTTCCTATGTTCCTTTTGATCAACAGTTGGCCAATGTGTACCTGAATATGCTCTATAAGCTGTGAATTGTACATTGTAAATCACAAAGGTGAATATGCTCTATAAGCTGTGAATTGTGAATTGTAAATCACAAAGGTGCATAGCTCAGGATATCATGAATCCTGATCAACTGGCGCAATAAGGTTTTGTATGACTCCGTGAATGATAAGAAATATCATATTACATTGTTTTATAGGAGTATTTGGGATGTAGCCAGTTGTCATCCATGATCCATGTTCTGTGATGCAGCAAGGAAGTAGTAGCCTCGAAATCCACTAAGGACAATCTTTGAATCCACGAAGTAAATTTGAAGAAAAACGAAATTTTATTAATCAAAAGTTATGCCTCTAGGGCTTACAAGGCCCTACTTAAATAGAAAATAAACAAGACTTTTACAAGGACTCAAACTCCTACAAGGACTCTAACTTACCAAAAATAGTAAAAAAATTCCTAAAACATTAAAACTCCTAAAAAGACTCCTTACGACTAGGAAAGTCCACCAGTCAAATCTGAGATCAAATCGGCTTTGTTTCCTAATCAAAACAGACTCCGAAAGCATTACTAAAAATAGTAAAAACGGACAAAAATGCAGATATCTCTCAAACCGTAAGGAATTTGGCGAAACGAAGGAAGCAAACCGAACCCTTAAGGGTCGGTTTGGATGGCTCCATCTCGTCAAGATAGTCGATTTTCATATATAATTCGTCTAATTCCAATGTACGGTTTGAAGATTATGGCCGTTTCTTCGAAACAAGTTATTTTCTTCGACCAGGCCTGCATTTGGGATTGCGACTGTCCCACTTTGACATAAACGTATCTGTCGTGTGTTCTACATCATTCTGTTTTATTTTCCGACCCACATGACAGAGTTATTTTCCTATTAGGTTTTAACTAATGGGGGGATGATCTTGTGGAAATGATCTTGGAAAATGTTTTGACCACCAAATGATTCCCACAGGAGCTAAAAGATTAACATGGAGAACACATCACACAGGTTAGAGGATGCATGCACTAATAAAATAGAACAAGGATGATAAGTAGCTATACCTACATAGCAGAGGGGATGCATCTGAAAATAACCCTATTTTATAAGTAATTTAGTCACATCAGATTGTTATGTTCTCATATGTGCTGGGTCAATGAGTTCTATACTAGTTGGTTCTATTCTACTAATCTAGCCTTTATGGTAAATCCCAAGCTCAACTACAATAAGACAATATGGTTTGTGGTATGGCTGTCAAATGGTTGCTCAAGATGAAGCAAACTTGGTCAGTTGGTCCATCATATGTTTATTCTTATTTGTTCCCGTCTCTCCTTTCCAAAAGATATTTGAGAGAAGGAGATGAAGAGGGAAATAAAAAGGATTTTAGTGCTCCCAGGTCTTACAATCCTAAAGTTTCAGAAGACTGCACAAGATTACAAACCAGTTGAAGATTGATCATGCATCCCTGATAATTCCAATCTTGAAAGAAAGGTAACAGATATAAAGGAGGATCTTATACATAATATTCATATGAAAGAGAAATGCAAAGCATTGGTATAGGTCCCTATGTTTTGGCTAAATTTCACTTGAGTCCTTAAACTTTGGAAGCCATCAACAAAGATTCCAAATGTTTTCTCCGTCATCATATTAAATCCTTTTTTTAAATTTTCCGTTAACTATTGATGATGGGGGTAGGACCTTTTTGTCATTCTCAATTTTCATTTATAGGATACAACCTGCTAGAGGGGTCAATCTAAAGTTTCAAAAGACTGCAAGTTTACAAACCACCTGAAGATGGATCATGGTATCCCCGATAAATCCAATCTTAAAAGAAAGGAAAAAGATCAGAAGAAGGATCTTGCATTATAAAATTAATATGAAAGAGAAACCACGATTGTAATTTGTAGGATGCAGCCCACTAGAAGGATCAATCTGTTATGCCACTTGGGAGGGAAGACATCCTACAAGGATAGCATGCTACGTCTTCCCTGTTCAATCCCAAAAACAATCTCAATGATGGAGATCTGAGGTTGCTCTGTTTTAAATTCCAAGCAAACCTAAGCCCATTGGGATCAGAAACACATGCATATTCGGAGAGTTCCCTAACAATCCCCAAAAAATTCCTCAGGTATGAAAAAGGTATATTATTAGTGATCCACAATTCTAGAATATTTATACAGAATAATCCAGCCAAGTAAGTATCTTGTCTAAACCTGATGCTCTGATCATTCCATCTAGAAATTTAATAGTTTTCACCAGAATCATGGGAGAAAAAGCAAAAGGTCAAGAAAAGGCACTTCAATACTGCAAATTGATTGTTGACAAACTTACCAATATCTCTTCATCCAAATAAGATATAATGAATAGTCTCTGGAAAGTACCACCTGGAAAGCATAGGCAAAAAACTTTTAGAACATTTTTTATGAATTAGATAATTTCTATTGAAAGACTCTGCTAAAGAGTTCATGATCGATAAGGAATGAACACAAGTTCACTCATATTTCTCTTATTTATTAAATAATTTCAAAAGAAAACAAGTTATCTTATCACATGAACAGCGAACTAAGTGCAGTAGAAGATACATCATGTTAAAGCAAACAGAGAATGACATAAACGTTTTCACTCATAAAAGTTATTTTAACTGAGTTTATTGTTAGCATTTGTAGGTGTAAATAAACATCTATAAGCAATTAATTTTAAAAAAATGAATGAGACAGTGAAACGACATATACAAATCAAACATACATAGAAAAATGAGAACATGAAGTAGATAATACTTTCTACATATCACATTTTACACCAGAAGCATCAAGAACATTAAGGCCAGTGCAGATCTTCCCATTTAGTTTGGAATCTAAAGGTACAATAACAAAAAATCATACTAAGATGGATAAAATATTATGTACCATCAATAACCAAATTTGACTTACTAAGCGGAAGTGTCAGTCCATTAGATACAGCGTCTTTTATAGGAGCTGGGAGCTGCTGCAGAGAACCAGCTGCTTGTCTAAGTGCATCCTTAAGCTGTTCTGGAATAGCCTGTTCGCTAACAGTGGGTGTTTCAAACAATCCTTCAACATACTCTTCTTTCATTCGGATAGGCCCCTCTACAGATAATTTGGTGGTAAGGAGGAACTTGCTTTCTATCTGCAAAAATGCAAGTTTAAGTCATACAATCAGTGTTTCCGCACGTTCAATTTATTTGTAGGGCAGTCCCCTACCAAGAACTTGATTCTTTTACACAAGCAAATGTGACAGACAGGTCCATCTGTGTCCAAGTCCAACACTGGAAGTATGTAATATGTATCTACATATTAATATGTCCAAGCTCAAGTATTTTCAGCCCAATACATGCATCTTTGAATATGTCCAAGGTTATAAATCATTTTATGTTTTTTAAAATTCCGAGCACACCTTTCTATGGGTTGTTATGATAGAATCCTTACTCATTTAACATACCATTATAACAAACTAAGTTTGCACCGTGCCTTTTGTCTGATTCCGACAAAAGTATCGACATGACTGCCAATTACTGACAGGCACTTTCTGTAGAAGTAAATAGATTATCATTTAATAATTTTTCCAAAAGCCAGCAATTCAAATAGTTAGGTTTCTTGTGAAGGCATATAGAGATCTTAAATCCTCAAAGCAGTATAGACAGTCATAACCAACAGACCATATACTATAAATAGACTCAAAATCTTGCTTTCTGAAAAGAGAAAACGCAATCAAATTGAAAGCATTTTATTATGCAATGCAAAGAGGATTCCCCACCCAATGTGGTATCATACAGAGGCACTTGCATCTGTCATGACTTTAAATCTAAATAGGTCCAGACTCCAGTATCTTTTACACCCTTTTCATCTCTTTTTAAATTTATTTGTAACCAACATTACTTTTTTCTCGCACGGTGAGGGTTAAATAAGGTTAGTATCTTCAGATGTAGGTGGAGAAGAATACTTTCCATAGGTTGTTTCCTCGAATTTGTCAGGTTGTACTGCACCCAAGTGCTATATCAACTCTGCAAGCATATTGGTTATTTTTCAATAAATGTTTGTTATCAAAAAGAAAGAATATGCTGCTTAATGTAGATAAGCAGTACTTTGAGTGGAATCTGAGTTTCACTTTCCCATACTACCAGCTATACATAATCACTAGAGATATTACTTATAGGGTTTAAGATTAGGACGTGAAGAAAAAGTTGGCGAATATAAAGAGGTAGGAAGGGATAAATAAAGAAATCAGGAGAGGTAAATAAAGAAATCCTGATGGCCAAAGGTCTCACAATCTTGGGATATTCCAAAATATTGAGAATCGCCTTTAAATGAACTGCAAGGTGTCATACAAAAGTATCTAGAAGCTCCCAATTCAATTACCATGCAGTAATACATTCCCACCTACCACTTTGAGCGTATTTTACATTACAAATATAATACCAGGATACCAAAACTATATCCCTCAATAAATTGATAGCAGGTTTATTTCACATTTAAAGATACACATTTCTTAAGGCTAAATTATCAGATTAGTGCATTTTGTTGACCCTAAGTACCAACTTTGTATATTTTCTTACTCCGGTGATGATAAGGTATATAAAGTGGGATACGGTGACAACAGGCCTATTTTTTATCCGGAGCAAAATTTCCAGTGACTAAACGTCACGTGATTCATCATGTGGATGCTGATGTGGCTTCTTACTTGGCAGATAGAGTGCTCATTCATTTGAACTAAACATGGTTTTTTTTTTCTTGTTCAAATTAGGGCTCAAAAAAGCAGGGATCAAAGTGGGTGTTCTTCCCATCCACGACCTTCCTGCAATTGTTTTTACTTTGATCATCACATGGTTCATATGGAAATTAAGATGTGATATTATTTTCAATTGTAGAAGGCTGACATTGCTTGCAAATCTCACCCTCATTGAAGTCTACACTCAGGTGCATACCCAAATCACATCACCTCCAGGATCTCCTTTCAATATCAGCTCCATCATACTTGGAACCCTCCTCCCTCGAGTACTGTTAAAATCAATGTTGATGCCGCTTGTAATGATTGCTCTGCTGTTGGGTTAATTGCTCACAACCATTTTGGCTGCCATCTCCAATTCTTTGAACCATTAAATCCACTACCTCCCCCCCCCCCTCTCAAGGTGAACTTTTTGCATGCATTGCCAGGTTATGTTTGCGCTCTCTTTTGGTTGTACTGATATTATCTTAGAATTGGATTGCCTTGATATTGTGCTTATGCTACATGGAGTGATTGCACACACGCAACATCTCTCAGGTATCTTCTCAAATTGTTGGACTCTCTTCAAGCTCTTCAACCTCTTTTGTTAACCAAGGTCGTCATTTGGGAAATCGTTGTGCGCACCTTTTAGCTCAATTTGCATGCAGATTAAATGTACCCTCTTTTCGGATGTCTGGGATGGTCCAGACTAAATTTTGCAATCAAATCCCCTTGGATACTATCAATTAGAATCTTTCGAATTCCTAACAAAAAAGGTGTTCTTCTTCCTCCTAGGATTGAAATTATGTTAGGGCAATTGAAATTGGGTTAGGGAATCTCTACAATTTCAGAAAGAATCATTCTTTCCCTCACATGAATGGAGAGCAGGGAGAAAGATAGAAGGGGGAAGAATTTGGAGATTTTTTTCAGAACGGTTAGTTGAAGATCCTGCTTAACCTTCGCCACAAATGCCCAATTAAGTCGCGTCAGACACACATGAAGAGTCACGTGAGGTGATCTCGTCGAAAATTTTACTCTGGCCAAAAAAATAGGCTTTATTATCACTGTGTCCCATTTTATATACCATATCGCTGCCGGAATATGAAAATATATCAATTTGGCACTTAGGGTCAACAAAGGATACCAATCTGGTAACTTAGCCCATCTCTTAATGTAAAATAGAAAATAATGCAAGGGAATAAATTTGTTTAGTGAGAGTTACAGAATTAAGAAACTTCAGATTTGCTGTGACTTTAGAATATCCATCCTTGATCAGCATATCCAAACCCACCAAATTTGCCAAAGTTACAGGAAACCTCCTGCAAATAAGGCACAAGGTTGCATCAATAAAAAATTTATGCCTTTGTTTTACCAAATGACATCAGACGATTTCCTCAGAGGTAACTTTACAAGAGCATATAACATAATATAATATAATATACCTTTGAGATGTTATATTACTGTGTCTGGAGTACAGTTTAAGGTCTTACTCTCTTAAAAGTTCCTTATTCACTCTAGTTTCGCACGTGAGGGGAGTATAATATATTAGACACACAGATCCTATTGTCATGTGAAGCTGTAAGCCTGTAACTTGACCTGATTCCAACTTAATGAAAATATCTCACTTATTGAACTCAACTGTATATCTGACTGGATTTCATCAGTAACATAGCCAGGAAAGCTAACATAACTAATTAACCTGACCATCCTATTTGAAACTAGAAAAAATGAAATACAACTACTTCAGATAATCCAATCTAAGAGTCTGGACTGAGCCAATATAGCTATCTTATCTTTGTTGCCAGTTATACCAACAACAAAAATGGTGAAGAGTACATAAAGCCACTACCATTTTATACTAAGAAAGTGCTTGCATAAACTATAATTAAATTTAAATATCATAGGCTTGAAGGTCTCTAAATTTCTGTCACTAACATATAAAGAAACAGGCTCCACTATCTTGCAGGGGGGGGAATATAACCAATGAGTTCAGTAATCACAAAATTGACTTAATTGTAACATGTCAGTGAAAGTACCTACTCGAACAGAAATCTTGCAGTAAATAATCCAGGGCTACCAGAGCCGAACCACTCAAAATTCCACCGGCCTTCCAAGAAGGGGGAACTGAACAAGTAAACATACATATTAGTGTCAAAACATATTCAAAAATAAATAAGATAAACATCCTTTTAACACAGATGGTGCAAATACACAGAATAGTTAGATTATAACCAAACAGATTTAAATATTTTGGAATGTCAACCACTAATCAGATGTAAACTCCCAATGCACACCCACAGCTACATGTCCTGAAGTGTAAATCTTATCTATGGATATTCTCCGGAATAGTTGATTAAAAATTATGAAAAAGTTGTACATCTCTTGGCCTAGAAACATACGTTGTAGGACGGGGAGTGGGATTTAGCCGTTCAAGCCCAATGATTCTCTCGTTGACATCAATGCGATGCATTTCTGTTGTCTTCCCACCAACCAAAGATTGGAAACCTCCAGCATCCTTAAACTGAAACAAGTAGTTTCATAAACTCCAATTTAGGTAAAAGGCAACTCAAGAGAGGAATGAAATAAATAATTCCATAAAAATTCAAGAATTTTAGACTTAATATATTTAAGCTTGTGATATGGAGCAGCTTGAAAGAGCAATACATACTATAGATAAGCACGTTCTTGCAACCAGGATTATTAGGGGTAAAACAGATAAGAAGCGATCGACAATTACATGCTCTTGTTTGAAGAAACAGAAGCAAGTGTTTAAAAAGATTACTGCAAGAAGACTTTTTCAAGTATTTAAAGTCGAATGAAGTTCACGTAGATGATTACAGAATTCACACAGAGAAAGAAGTTGCTCCGTCTCTAGTAGTTACGCAAAAGATACAAAATAAGATAAAAAAAATTCCATGTCCCAGAAATGTCAACCAAACACAGAAGCTCACTTACTGTCCTAAAGAGCGCACCCCATAAAGTCAAATTCATTTCCACCAATTCATGATACAATTTCCATCTTATAGCAAAAATATAAAATTCGAAAGAACATTTCCAGCAAGATTTCAATTATTTCAACGCAAACAGCTGCTTGCAAGTGTTTATGAGTTTAGGAAAAAAAACCATCTTCTCTAGGAAATTCCAACAAGAAATAATGTTCATATTAAAGAACAGAATTTCACAAACAACCTATACAATTAGGTAGAATTCCATCTAAACTGCCAATCAACTAACTAGAAATAAGGAATTCAAGCTTTATTAACTCAGAACGCCTCAGATTGAGAGCAGCCAAAAAAGCACAAGTCAAATATGAGCTCTTTAAATTCATCAGCTCATGTTAAAGGTGACCAATTCCAAGGATTAAAGAAATAAGGAACAAAATCTCACAGCGAGGAGGAGTGATTCTTTAGCGGAGAGCCTCTCCATCTCCTTCTCAAAATTTCCCGCCGATCCCTGATACGTCTGCTTGAACCACTCGCCCTCACAAAGATCCGCGCCGGACAGAGTCAGCCAAGTCGGAGACCGCAGGCGGTCCTCCGCGATGCCGGAGGGTTGGGGAAAAGGGACGATGAAATTGGATGGAGAGAGCGTTTGGAGAGATGAAGCCATGGAGTCGAGAACTAGAATTGGGATGTTTAGAGACCCTGATTCTATTTTAGTGAGAGGAGGAAGGAGAGAGAGAGAGAGACAGAGGTTTATTATCCGCGCGCTCTGCGTGTGTGGGTATTTTCGTCAGATTTGAGTGGAAAATAAGTGCAGCCACCGTCATCCGGGCCAGCGATACACGATATTTAAGCGCCCATTTTAAAAGCTTTATGAAATTTTAAGTGTATATCTAGGGCATCTAAATTCAACTTTTAAATTTTTTTGGTAAAAATGTGCCAAGGCCTTAAAAAAAGAAAGCTCACGTGATCAGACCTCTTTATTATTTTTCACGTGGCCAGCCCCACGTATTATTTTTCATGTGAGACAGTTCCCAATACAATAAATAATTGTGTTTTAGCCCCTGTGTACTCTTCCAAGTCAGCATAGAGAAAAATGTTTTGCGAAAACCCAATTCTACCCCTTAATCCGTTCTTTCTCTCTTCTCTCTTCTCTTGCTCAAACCCTAGAGACCTAACCCAGATCTGATCCCTCACCGACGTCGGCACGATGACCAGCCTCCTTCACCAATGCATCGCCTACCAACGCTCTCTCGACGTCCGCCTCGACTCCCTCTATAAAACCTCGAAATTTTTGATATATAGTAATAAATGAGTAATATTGTGATAAATGTCATTTATTAATGGTTGGGTATGTTAGAAATCGATTTGAGATCGATTAAATACATATAAGTGTGTATATAAGAGTACAGGAGCGAACATGCTCAAAACCATGCATGTGTTCTGGTTGGTCGACCGGCCTAGGCCGATCGGTTGACCGATGATACCCGACCGGTCGACCGATCGGTTGTGGCGGGGGGGGCGCGCGCGGGGGGCGGGTCGACCGACGGGTTCCAGCTGCGTGTACAGGTTTGTTTCGGGTCGATTTTGTTTGCCTTCAGGCCCAGTTGTGTACTGATCTTTTGCGTGAGATATCAGCATCCACCTTCCCTCTCAAAACCCTAACCCTAATCTGTGAGTTTTTGGGAGATTTCTTGAGACGATTATCCCCAGGAAGGCGGGATTTGCGAGCTTGAAGAAGAAGGATCTTGCACGCACGTGTTCAGGAGTTCAACACGACGTTTGAGGCAAGATCATCTTCCTCCAAACCTTTCCCTTAGTTAGAAATCATGTTTTTAGTGAATTAAGTGTTTAATTCACTACTTAAAGTTTAACCGGATGTGATAAAACCTAGTTTGTGACGATAAATCTAAAACCAATGAAAAGATCTGTAACTTTAATCTCTGTTTAATAAGAATAGTTGATCATGATCAGTAGGATTGTATTAAATTTTTAAATTCATGTTTTAATATGGTTTAAAACCTCTAGTTTAATCTTTTAAATGAACTTTTGCTAATTAAGATGTTTAAGCCATAAGTTATGACACATAGACGATGTAATCTTGTTTAAACAAATCTATATTTGTGGAATAATTAGAATTAATCTCTGTTTATTAATCATGTTATTAAAATATGTTGTTAATTGAGAATTTCATTAATTGGAATGTTAAACCCTAAGTGTTTAATTTCAAGAGATGTAACCATGTTTAATTTAACCCTTGTTGAGCAACCATGAAAGTTAAATCTTGTTTAACCTTGCATGCTAACAAAATTTTGTTTTCGAGACAAGTTTCAAAACATAGAAACCTGAGAAAACCCAAGATAGTGTAATAGGTCGACTGATCCCAAGAGATCAGTTGACTAATTGCTTCGCCAGGGTTTTCAAACCCTTTCTGGTTGGTCGACCGATAAGAACCAATCGGTCGACCGATGATGTCTTCTTACAGTGCCTTTGGTGCACGTTTGCCGTCGGTCGACTGATGCTTTAGAACGGTCGATCGACACCTTGTTTTGTTTATGATGACTTGTCTTGCATGTTTAATCGTGAACGCGAGGTTCGAGCCTTACGACGACACACATGCAACCATGGGTGTACACGAATAGAGTTGTGGCACTTACACGGATATCCCGAAGAGGATTATTACAGGTATTGTTTTAATCATGTTTGAGTTAACAATTAATTATAATATGTATGCATGTATGGATATCGTTGATGAGCACAGCTCAGTACTACTAGGGAGAGTGCGTCGTTATGTCGTTAGTACATGCCATTGAGTCATGATTTTAGGTTACCTGATTTAGTAGTCCGCCCCGCACGGTGATGCGATGATGCTAGAGAGCCGTACTTCTAGGATACCTGATATGGTAGTCCGTCCCGCATAGTGATGTGATGAGACTAATGAGTCGTGTACATATTTAGGATGCCTAATTTGGTAGTCTGTTCTGCATGATAATGTAATGAGTTATAAAACCTTACGAGATATTATATTGTGATATATCGGATAGACTAAATCTTTGGCGCAAGCCATTTATGAATAGGATTCATCGTTGAGTTATATTGTGATCGGATTGCTTCGGGTTTAGGAGTTACAGGAGATTTAGTTCTTGTATCCACATCATCTACCCAAGGGTAGCGCGAGTTATATGGTCGATATTTATGATATTGCAGCAACTTTACTTTTCTGTATTGTTTTCCTTTATCTTTTATTCTTAGTTTGGAATTGATATTTAGTGATTCACAATTTGAGACATATAGTATACACATGAGAGTTTTCTTGTTTGGATTATTTCGCTCGACGTACTATGTCTCGTGTTGTGGGTTTCTAAATATTAATATCATTTAGATACAGGGTAAATGATTTAAGTAGACTATGCATAATAGATAGAGCCTCCATCACATTTAGTAGCCCTTCCCCTGGGACGGATGGAGATGATCTTGCTAAAGCGCTCTGACACTGTTGTTGTTTTTCTTTTTGTTTTTCCTTCTTTTCAGGTAGCAGATCAGAGTTCCGGAGAGCCGCATGTTGACGGATTTACAGCATAGTCGACGTCCCTTATTTTTAGTAGCTGATACTCCACAGTCATTTATTTATGGTTTAGTTAATCATTATATATGTATTTCATTTTGAGAAGGTTGAGTGCCTCAGTTTGTCTTCATTTGACTCTATGTATTAAGTTACTTCACATTTATTTCAGACATCAGTTGTATTTTATTTTTATTTAGTTGGGACATGAGTATGTTTATTTGGATATCTCTTTCTATATCATGTCCATTACATTTAATACTCTTATTTGCCTGTTTTGTACCTACACTTATTATTGATTCCACTAGAGAGATATTACTGTGATGGTAAAACATATTATTTCACGATGTGAGTGCATGGCAGGTTTGACATCTTTGGGTTCACCTTGCACTGCAGCCATGTGTGAAAACAATGGCGTCACACCTGTAGGCACTAAAAAACTACCAAGGAATAAAGCAAGGTTGAACCTCGCTACAAGCATGACGAGGCTCATCATGATGATGAACCTCATCTGAGCCAACGAAGCCCATCATGATGATGGACGTCATTAAAGATGAAGTTCGTCAGAAATGAAGTTCGTTATAGAAGACGAAGTTTGTCATTAAAGACGAAGTTCGTCAGAAACGAAGTTCGTCATTGAAGATGAAGTTCGCCATTGAAGACGAAGTTCGCCAGAAACGAAGTTCGTCATTAAAGATGAAGTTCACCCAGAAACAGAGTTCGTCATTGAAGACGAAGTTCCCCAGAAACGAAGTTCATCATTGAAGACGAAGTTCATTAAAAACGAAGTTCATCATTGAAGATGAAGTTCGTCTAGAAACGAAGTTCGTCATTGAAGATAAAGTTCGTCGTTGCCGTTATTGACGAACCACGTCTATCGTTATTTTCAGATGCTACATTTAAAGAGGGTTAATGACCAATAACTCACTCATTTAAAGAGAGTTAATGACCACTAACTCCCTTATTATAAGGGGAGTTAAAGCTCATTAACTCACTCCATAATGGTCCTAAGCCTATAAATAGGCATGATCAACATGAAAGGAGGGGAGATTGAGAGGCTAATCAAAAGTCTATCTCTCCTCCACTCTCATTAATCTTTATAGATCATTATCATTGGCTAATCATTTGGCCTTGTGAGCACTAAAAATGCCAAAAGATAGACATGGGTCGCACCTCATCATGACAAACTTCATCAGTGAAGGGGAACGTCGCCCGAAAGCTCAAATAAAATCATTGAAGCTCATTTGAAACTCATCTTAACGAGGCTCGACATCAAAGATAAGGCTCGCCAATGCAGAGAGGCTCGACATTAGAAAAGGGCTCGCCAGGCAGCAAGGCTTGATATCAAAATACGAAGCTCATCGTTGGAAACGATGTTCGAAGTTCATCATTAGAGGTGAAGCTCGTCAATGAAGACAAAGCTCATCATCAGACTTAAAGCTCGTCAGTGAAGATGAAACTCATCAAAAGGAAGTTTATGAGGATTGCTATACAGTTGAACCCAGTTATCAAAGACGGAGTTTGTTAGTGAAGACGAAGCTCGTCAGACAAAGTCAGAGAAGACAAAGTTCGTCAGGAGAAGCTCGCTATACTACAAAGCTTGACTCATAAGACGAACCTTGCTGTATATTGAGGCTCGTCTAATCTGACGAACCTTATCATGCAGTGAAGCTCGTTGTCCATGGGAGATCTAACTGTAACGGCTCCGAAGACCTAGTCAGCCATGTGGCTAAACTTCAGGAGCATGTTACGCCCCATTAACTAACATTGACTGAATTAGAGGAGGCAGTTACGCCCTCTACCCACAATTCTAGCACGTCAGTTACGTGCTACGAATTCTATAAATAGCCATGAGCAGCTATGAAGAAGGGACATTTTGGAAGATTTTTGGCTATCGCGTGAAGAGATATCAGTGTCTGTATTCTCGTGATCTAAGCCATCATTAGAAGCTTTGGTGATCTAGT